GAGCCCAAGAAATATTAAAATTTTATTTGTTTTGAAATTTCAATTCTATAAAATATGAATAAAAGGGTAAAATATAAATAAAATAATAACTAAATATATCTCTCTCTCTCTCGAAATTTTGATCCAATCCAAACCCAATAAAATCTGAGTCGACCCGATCCACTGGGCAAGATTCGGGGAGAATATGGCATAATAAATTACAGAGGGCAGAGAGTTCAAAACTCCAAACACGGCAGAGCAGGGAAAGCAGAAGTGTGTGGTCGGCAAAGAGCAGTACATTAACCTTCTTTCCCAGACAATATCACTTCACCCTCACGTCACATTTTGCTTTTTACTTTTATGTTATTTTCAAATTTTACTGACAAAAAAGTCAAATATATCTGCCTGCGACCTCAACAGACTTCCCATCAACTTTTTCAATTCACATATATATATATATATATATAGCACGAATCCAATTCCATTCTCCATGCACTAAACATGCATTTAGGTTTATATGTAATCCATGCATTGTTATATTTCCACGTGTACATTTTATTTATATATATATGTGTGTGTATAAATGCTTTTGTAAAACTAACCGTAGTCCATTTATGTATGAAATGATTAACTACTAACCTGATGTATTGAATTGATAAAATCAATTTGTATTTATCTTTTCAACTTGGTGTAATTTGAATTTATCACTAAATATTTACATGATGTTTGAAATAAATCTTAAGATTTCAATTAAACTTATTTAGAATCACACACTTGATTACTGTCATGAGATTAAATTTTTATTTAAAACGTGATAAATTTTTTAATCATGAGAAAACTTTAAAATAAAATTCAAACAATATTTTGAATTTCATAGAAATATGAATTCAATTTTTGTTATTTTACTTTTTTTTTTTTTTACTAAAGCATGTGTAAATTTTTAAATACATCCTACAAAAATTTATGAATTTTTTTTACCATAGCCGTGTCTAATTTAAAATTTTATTACTAGTTTTTAAAAGAAAATAAATGTTTCTTATTTAAAATGTATTTATTAATTTTTTAAAAAAGAAATCAACACCAATAAATTTAGGGTTCATAAGAAATATCAATACTCACATTTGGGTTATTTTAAAGAAACATAAATGCAAGAAAATATCATGTTTTATTTTCACTTTACAAAAATATAACTATATAACATATGAATTTAACATTATTTAAAATAAACAATGGGTATTATAGAAATAAAAATTTATAAAATTACCAATATAGCTCTTCTTTTTCTTCTCCAAGCTTGATTGCACTAGGAATTTTAAATTCAATTCATATAGCATTCAATAATTTTGTTTTTTTTTTAAATAAAAATAAAAAAAAAAGATGTTAAATAATATGTTAATAAACATCTCAATCATGAAATTGCACATGAATAACATGTCCTACCACAAGTATCATCCACAAATCATTTATCACATCAACTCAAAGAAAAAGAAGGAAAACAAAATTAAAAATTATTAATATGTACAAAAATCTCACTATTTCTGAAAACTATCAGAATTTAATTTAAATACTTAAATAATAAACAAGTAATTAAAGAAATTAATCTAAAACTAATTGAGTCTAATCACCTCTTCACTATTGTTATTCTACTCAAAAATCCTAACAGTGTACGTAATTCCTTTTAATGATCAACTAGTTCATTATACAAATCCTTAAGCTTGGTTAATTAGTTTCTTTTGATGATCAACTACCATTGATGTACAATGTCTAGATCGATCGATTCACGATTATGCACTATATAAACTATTACGAGAATTAAAATTTTTACAATGCTTACTATTATTGTAATTTATTATAATTTTTCTTTTTTTAAATACTTTGATTTCTCATTAGCTCTTTACGGTATTTCTGTTTCTGATTCTATTTTAGTTATTATTCTCATTTCGATTCAATTTATATTTTCTCTCTACATCTCTCTCTTGGAATGTCTAAAGCTTACTAATGCTAGAAATTTGACTAATTGTAACAAACGGTGTAGCACCCGGAAAAAAAAAAAAAAAAAAAAAAAAGGCCACGTCAGCAGCCACGTCAGCAGGCCCGGTCAGCAGTCCCGGCCAACCAGGGCCTGCCACGTGGCAAGATCGCGTCACTCCGAAAGGAGCCACGTTGGCGATCCGCGTGGGTGCGATCCGACGGCCCAGATCAATCGCGCGATCGGACGGCCCAGATTCAAACGCATGGACGGCCCAGATTCAATCAAAAACGAACGGCCCAGATTAAAATGAAATGAACGGCTGTGATCAAAAGGCAAGGGGTTATAAATAGAACCCCCACACCAGACCACAAACCCTAGCCGCCAGCCGCTCGCCGGAGAAGACGAACCAGAGGGCGACCGCCGCCACCCGCCGCCACTCGCCGCCGCACCGGGGAAATTTCCGACCGCCGATCGAGGTAAATTTCATACCCCCGACTCGTTTTTCTCCGCTGATTCCTCCTATGGCCAAATCGAGGCCGAAATCCCGGCCAAACGGCCGAAATACGCGGTCGAAGCCCAGCGGCGCCGCCGCGCCCCCTCTCGGTTTTTGCCTCCGACGAGGTCCTTCCCGGCCTCCGTTCGATGCAATTTTTATATCACTGTGATCACCATTCTTTTCACTACAGGTTGACCGAAGCCGAATCACCAAAACACGAACCTCGCCGGAGAGCCACCGTACCCGAGAGCGCCGCCGCCGGTAAGCTCCGCTTTTCCGTGATTTTTTGGCCCCCCGAGGGCCCTAGGGTTGTTTTCTGACAAGGACCAATGCCAGTGTGGCCGAATTCGGCCGAAAACGGTCGAAAACAGCCAACCCGAGGCGACTCGCCGCCGCCAGCGGCGGCGCCGTCGCCGGAGCACGGCGGAGCCGCCGTGCCGGAGTTGCGATTTGGGCCGAAAGAGGCCCTGGGCCTAATTTGGATTTTTTTGGAACACGTGCAGGTACTCTTAGTGTGTTTCAGTTTCCCGGAAAAAATTCAGGGAAAATTAGGGACGGCCTGCAGGCGCACTGTGAATCGTATTCGGATCTCGAAAACAAGTAAGGACCCCTCACCCTATTTCCTATCACGGTATTAAAGTTCAAAATGATAAAACGGTATTTCTTGAATTAACGAATGTGTGAAATTGCTTAAGGTGGCTAATGGAGCCCGAGTCTAGTGTGACTGGTGATTTACTGTTATTTGGCATGTTTACAGCTTTAAATGCAAAATGAGGTTTGATGTGTTCATTCTACAGATTTGTGTGCATATACTACGTTTTTATTAATCGTGGGTTGAATGACTGAAAAACTGATACTGTATATTGTCTGTTTGGTATGAATTACGATTTGCTTATTTAAATGTGAATTGATGATGCTGATTGAGGAAAAGGAAAATGAAAGATTGTGTAGACTGATAATTGTATTATGGGGGTCAGCCTGACTAGATATCTTGGGAGATGGTGGACGGACCGGGTCCGTAGGGAACCCTACCGGGATTGTGGTCTCACATGCCGGACGGGGTATGGAGATCTTATGGTTTTGGCGCCCATACCGGACGGGGTATGGGGACGGCCCGTTTCACCCTCATACCGGACGGGGTATTGAGGTTTATGGTTTTGGCGCCCATACCGGACGGGGTATGGGGACGGCCCTGGAAACTGATTATGAATGTTAAAGGTTAACGGGTAGCGGAACCCCTATGGACCCCCACGGATACTAGTAGGCTGGTAAATGAGAAAAAGATATGTTGTACAATGATTGAATTACAAGAGGCGTGATAAGTGTTATGTTTTACAGCTTAGATTATTCAATGATTATGATAATGTTATTGTTTTTCTCATATTGTTTTCATAAATTCCACCAAGATAAGTGGATGGTAAAGGTTTTCATGTTAATAAACGAGTTTGTTGTAAATTATGCTCCATTGGTTTTTTTGTGTTTTTCTACCCACCTTTATCTCCGTGACGGTGAGATATCGTGATGTTCTTACTGGGCTAGTGTAGCTCACTCCTTAATTAACCATTTCAGATCAGGAAGACATGGTTCCCGAGCTCGTTCCGCAGGAGGACGACGAAGGAGATGCCTAGAGACTCTGTAGTCATACGCATAGTTTATTTTCGAGTTTTCTTTCTTAGTTAGTTTAACCTTTTATATTTTAAGTACGTTTTTGGTTTTTCGTGTAAGGGATGTTAACTGAAATTTTGATCTCGCTTCCGCATTCGATATATTTAAATACTCATTTCTTTTTAATATTTTCCGGGGTCGTTACAAACGGAGTAAAGCAGCCAAGGAACAAAAGAATTTAAAAAAAAAAAAAAAGAGTCATTTAGTTGGAAGAAATTTAAAGTTAGAAAATAATTTTTGGAAGCGCGAGAGAAGAGGAAAAAATAACCTAATGGTAAAAGAGATATTTACTCTTCCATTTGAGGGTAAACTGTGTATTTTATGTTTAATTTAACAAATTTTATTTTTAGTAGCAGCAAGATTTAATTCAATTATATTTATTTTATAATGGTAATAAATTTTCCATAAATTTAATTTAAATCACTGAAAACTAGAAGAGAGGAAACTGAAGTGCCCCAGCCCCACACCACTGCTCTGTTCTTTTTGGCCACCTGCGCGGCTCATCATTCATCAATTGCAGATCCTGCACTACCCTCTCCGCTAAATTTTGCAACCTCTTATATAGTTTTGAATAAAACATATATTTGTATATCCATATCTTTTTAATTTATTGAAATTAAATGTGTTAATAAAATAATAAATAATAACAATATAATTTAATTGATTATTTATTTGAATTTTTGCTAGGAAAAAAAAGGGACCTGTGGGTTTATGGTTTAATTATCAATTTTATTTTCTAAAAGCAAACCCAGAATTTCTGAGATGCTAAACCCACCAATGAAACACGGACTAGACAAGAATTTGCAAAAGAAATTGACTTCTCACGGCGCGTGCAAACATTGTCCTCCCTTCCCTGTTCATGTCTTCTCCCACCCTTTTGCCATCACCACCACCTTTCTTTATTCAAATGCGTAGCCCGCCACCATCCACATTCAAAATTCCTTCTCTTTTTACCTTTTTCATGCCATTGCTTTTCCCTTTTTCTCAACTTTCACGCTTGAAAAACTTCAAATTTTGAAATACCCACAACCCAAAAATCTTTTCTTCTCTTTCAACAATTCGTTTTCTCGTCTGGGTTCTTCAACTTTTTCATGAATTTGGCCCCTAATCGTTTCTATACTTTTAGTAAATCACATTGTTCGTGTTTAATTTAATTGGCATTGCGAAAGTTTCCTTTTTTAGGAGGGTTTTGACTGGTGATTTAAGACATCATGAAGTTCTTATCCCATTCTTCTTCAATCTCATCATCTTCATCTGTTTCTTTTGATCCCAACATGTGCACTTCAAAAAGTGCCACCGCCGGATGTCTTGCCGGAATCTTGCGACGAATTCTCTGCTCCGGCAGCCTCCCTACACACCCATCGGATCACATTACAGAACCCAATTCAATTCCGTGTGATCACCCTCGACAAGATTTCAACTTTAAGGCTGAGCAGGATCCCAAGGTGAGTCCAGGGATTGTGGCAAGGCTTATGGGTTTGGATTCAATGCCAAACATCAACTTGGTTAATACCCAACTGAATCCTAATTCAATCACAAGAAGCAGATCATTGAATTCTGTTGATTACAAAGCATCAGAAAATGAGTATCACTTTCAAAAAAATCTCCACAGAAGGGTCAAATCGTCGTTATCATTTAGAGAGATGCCAAGTTTTGTTGAGCTTGAGACAGAGGAGTTCTTCATACTCAGCTTTGAGAATGAAAATGAAAGAAGAGAATTCACGCCCAAAAAGAAGAAATCTGAAAAGGGTTTTGGGGAATTGAAGCAGAGAAGGAAAGAGAAATCTGAAAACAGAGAAAAGAAAAAAGAGGAGTTGATCAGAAGGAACAACAGGACTTTTTTGAACTTATCAAAAGAGAGCAAAGCCTCTGTAAAGCCTATGCAAGAAGCTGCAGATTCTAGCAGAACTAAAAATTCAAACACTTGTTGTTCATCTGATAATTATAGTGAAGAAATTAATGTTGCTTCGAGGGGTTTAAGCAGCTCAGAAACCAGTTATCATGAGGAAGTTCTAAGTGAAACTGAATCAAACAAGAAGAAGATGATGAGGAGGAGGAGGAAGAAGCAGAAAAGGCATCACTTCGTGGATAAGAGCATTGAAAATGAAACCAGCTCAGAGGATTCTAGCCCTGTTTCTGTTCTTGATTTTGATAAATTCATCATTGATCAAGAATTACCCACATCAGGTTAGTAAATCAAATTCAATTCTCATTCATGATATGCCTTGATTATACAGTTTTTATATGATTTCACATTTAAATCATAGTTAGTGTAAGTTCTAATTATCATATCTCATAGTAATCTCAACATACCTAATCATAAAATATTTTATTAATTTTTCAATTTTGGTTAAACAAATTCAAGTGACATTTTGTAATGAGGGAAAACTCCCATCAATAATACTCAAAATTTTTACTTTTTTTAACATAAATAAATTTGTGTTCTAAAATGCTTACTTCTTTTGTAAATTGTTCGAAACAGAGAAAGATCCAAGACAGGAAGAGTCAAACCCAAGAAGGAAACTTTGCCCAGAGCTTCAAATCTACAGACAATTATCCCAAAATGCTGGTAGCAATTTGATGGAAGATGATTTAACACCAAACAAAATTCGATCAAGAACAAGAGATGGGGTAAACCAGATTTATATAGACATGTGGGGTGAAATTTGCAGGATGACTGAAACTGAGGTTGCGGAATCAAATTGGGTAAACAAACAAGTTTTGAAGATTCAAGATGAATTAAATGCAGATTTTGAATCACAGATTCTTGATCAAATGTTAGAGGAGATAGTGATTCAACTTGCTGAATTTCCCATTAAAGCCTTATACTAGTAAGTTGTTGTTAAGACTTGAATCCACCCTGTTAATTTTTTTTACATGTAAAATTGTAAATTAATATATGATAAATAATCTTTTTTGTTTCTATTCTTAGTTCTTGTTTGGTCAATTAAGAAGAATTTAAATTTAAATTCTGCAAGAATCATTAGGTTATAGCAGTTAATGATGTACCTAGCAAAATATTCTGCATTTAAATCTCATGGAAAAAGTTCAAAATGTATATTAAATAATCAGTTCAACTACTTTAAGACTTCCTGCTTTTCCTTAAGCATCAATCATGTCATTATTCTAAAATCATATATATGCATATTTATGTCTATATATATATATATAAACATATACTTATATGTGGACCTATCTCATCTGTATAAATTTAGGTAGATGGATAATTGTCAAAAGCTTGGTGTGACTCAAATTCCAAGATGCCAACTTATAAATTATTTTTTTGGGAAAAAGAATCATAAATGAAGTAAAGAAAATTCCAACTATAAGTAACGAGTAGGTATGAATCGTAAGCAATTTGTTATATTGTGATAAACAGCACTGTGTTTAAATAAATGTAAGTTGATGGAAAAAAAAAAGATTAACTAATTATTTATTTATATTGTACTACTGTGTATGTGTCTAACCATATACTTACAACTAAACATTCCTCTATATATATAATATACATATAAGCACGTATATCAAACAACCACAGGAAGAATCTTGATAATACCAATGATTTTGATTTTTGTGTGGATAATTTATGAACCTTGAAATCGGCCAATTAATTCCAAAAATAAGAGAGAGAGAGAGAGATCCTGACAAATCCAATTTCCATAGAATCACAATTTCTAATCCATACAATTCATTTATTCCCTAATTTATGAAAGTTGGTAAATTGGCATATATGGTTTTTACAAGGGTAAAACCAAAACCAGAAGGGGAAAGCAACCAAAGTTTCATAGCCTGAGTGGATGAAATTTCAACCCAATTTTCAATCTCAACAATAAAAAGAGATTTAATCTTTTAGATTTTAGCACAAAACCAGTTGGATTAGGTATCTACTCCTCTATTTTCCCAGGCAAAAAAAATTGATCTTTACATATATTCATCACCAAAAACGGAACAAACATACATATGTATGTATACATATGTTGATAAACCTCTCAACTTAGCAGCTCTCTCAATTCCTGTGTTTCTTTCTAGTGCTCATCCCACTAATTTCCAAAGACAAAAAGAAAAAGTTAATGAGATGACACAAAAGTTGATAAGGTAACACTTAGAGGAATACCCTTTTCTCACTAGTGCTAAATAACCATCTCAATTGAGATTCATGGAATCAATGCAACATCATCAGTTTACACTTTTGAATGCCGAAAGTAATATAGACAATTCCAAAAGGTAATTAAGTTCACAGCACTTCGAAAAGATAAAAGAAGGTCGAATGGTAATCTTATCACCACACAAAGAAAATCTTGTTTCGGTAATCAGAACTTGCGAAGAACATGTATATATATATATATATATATAGGATAAGGAGCTTCATTAACGTAAAATATCTGGGTACATACTGTATACTACCCACCATGAAAGAAAAAAATAATAACAAACCAAGGAAATGGTGTATTCCAGATTTCAATTGCAAATTGAAAGCATTAAACTTGTGGGGGTTTGAGCTGATTTAATCCCTATATATTATCATCAGCAGATTATCATTCTGACCCACAACGTTTTTCTACTAGACAATGAAGTTTAAAACTCTAACCAACACAGGAATCCAACAAGAAGATTACAGACTAAAAATTCTTATCCTAAAGGCATTTGCAGAAATGTTTTATACTGCTCAATTTGTTGAGACACTTTTATGGGCATATCCTTTTTGTTTTCTCCCTCTTGTTCGACTGGTCTTGATGAATATTAATAAAGATTAAAAAAATAACCAAAAGAAACTAGTTAAAAAGGTTAAACTGAGGACCATTAAAGAGGCTAATTTTCTTTAAGCCACCATCTGTTCCTGCTCCATGTACAACTGCTCCACCCAAGCAGGAAGTGCCTCTGAACCACCACTGTTAAGATGACACTGCTGCTGTTGCTGTTGTTCTTCGAAATCAAATTGCCCAGGTTTATCTAGAGGGGTGTCCTTCACCAAGGACTGAACCCAAGATACATCAGGCTCATCAGCTATTGCAGGCATTAAGGATGTAGCTGCAGATAAACTGCTTCCACCATTTCTGTACCCAAATGAAGCAGATTTCCGCAGCTTGTTCAGCTCTTCTCCCTGGATACCCCAGTCCAATTTTCCATCCGGGGAACCCCAATCCGAAAGATTGGAAGTCATTGTACTAACTGAAGAAACTGGGGAAGAAAACCCAGAATGCCGGTTCACTGCACTTCGTTCAATGAAACTCTGGCTTCGTTTTGCAAAGGCAGCTGACCTTGAACTCAAAACTGCTGCTGCAGATGACCCAGATGGATCAATGCCAAAGGATGAAGAAGATCCTCTTACTGAAGATGGTGAGAGGTTAGTTGGGTAGCTCGAGCGGAGCTGCTGGTTGATGTTCTGGCGTATCTGCATCCCAGCGGAAGACTGCAGCTGAGAAGCTGCAGCTTCAAGAGAGATTCCCTGTAACTGAGGCAAAATCATAGGATCAAGAGATCCAAAAATGTCATC